GTGTTGTGGACATTGGACAAACCCTTTCTTTACACTGCATGGATGGTGGGAACTGAAGTTTAGGTATTGTCTGCTGAAGGTTGGCTTGTGATATACAGATGTCTTGAATCCTTTCCCTTTGTGAGTTATTAGTATATCCAAGAAGTCCAGCTGATTGATTTATTTCATTGTGAACTAGACTGAAGGTTTTATCGAGTTCATATAGTTCAAAAGTATTTGTACAGCTTCCTGGAAGAATGTCTACACAGTACATGAACTTTACCATCATGCTATCTATTAGAATGCTAACAAATTCTCCAAGGGATGGATTGGATTTGACCCACTGTCAGAGCCTCATCTGTAGGAACTTGCTAGGAATGGGACCCATTAGATTCATTCCACAAAGTGTTCTCAGTTCCTAACATATGACAAGGACTTCCATGCAAGTGAGTTGGCTATATCCACAAGGAATCTGCCCAATAGACAGTATGCTGAGTCCCTGCAGGAATATTGGAAAGACTATACATGTGTGGCAGCTTTGTGTAATACTGAGTCAGCTGACTATACTTATTCAGTGTGAAGTCCATGTTCTTTTTTTAGGATCTGTGACAACTTCCACTCAATTTTCAGGGTTGGAACCATTTTTAACCTTTTTTTTAAAGAAGGCTCCAAGTTTTCTACTCAGTTGTCTGTGGGACAATAACATTGATTCAGGAATTTGGTGAGACTGAGAAGTACTAGGAAGAGGAAAAAAGAAACAATTATGTCCTGACCCTATCACCTAGGTGGACTGACTATATCAGTAGCTATATATAGTGAGCACAGGATATACCTGGGGCTGGCTTCGGGAATTACTAGCTTGCTACCCAATTCCCTGTCTTTCAGTAGTGTATTTTGTTTTATTATAAAACTCCCTTTCTTTCATCTACACATGTGTTGCTGTTCCTTCACTCGAGTACCACCTTTGTTTGTAACCTCTTTAAGGATACAACATGTTATAATTGCGAGTTCAATCCCTGGGCCAAACAAATACTGTTTACTTGAATTCAGTGAAGACAGGATAAACACTAATTGAGCAGTACTAAATAAGAACTAGACAAGATATCCATGGCCATGGAAACAAGAACAATCTACCCCCATAGATGAAATAAAGGGTTCAGTTTGAAATACCTTGAAGTTTCCTTGGATCAACAATTGCCTGATAAAGGCCAAAGGGCACAGCTGAAATATTGTAATAGCAACAACAAAGATGAGAACAATAGTTCAAGCTGCATTTTAGCATTGTTTTTTTACATTCAAAAGATAGATATGAGAAAAATAAAGATTTGATGGAGCAGGTTCAAAGTTTGAGTTATTTTCATTTTTTCTGAGAAATACAAATTTGTATTTCTTACTATATTATTTTCACCAGAAGATGAGAAAAAAAAACAAAAAAAACTGGAAATGATAGCTAGAAAAATGTTTTATGGTCATATTTGATAAGTGAAAATATAATTTAGAAATTTGTCCCAGAAAATGAAACTTAAAATCCACACAGAGTAAACACCTTCATATTTTGTCAAAAAAAAAAAATAAAAAAATAAACAAATAAAAAAGGTAAACAATTTATCAAACAGATGTAAAGTGAGTCACTTTGGATAGAAGATCTGCTCTTTTTGTCACTAGTGTTCAGATTACTATTGATATAAATGATTCTTATTCATCAATGCATTTTTTTAATATATCGAAAGCATTTAGTGAATGTTGGTCTTTAAGAGTATATTAATAGAATATCAACACTGCTTTTATTAACAGATAGTTGTTTGAAGCTATCATTCTATAAATTATTTAGAATAATTATCATCAGGGTTGTTATTCTAGAAAGTGACTTATGCTGGTAAATTTTTGAAATCCCTAATATATGAAAGACCAAACATACTAAATGATAAAATTCTTATACACAAAAGATGTAAAGAAATAAAATGGCTTTTCTCAGTGTGTAGAGAAGCTCAAGGGTGAAAAATAAGTTTGTGAATTTTCAGAAAGATAACAAACATTGGCACCAAACTACTGTTTAAATGGTGAGCTTTTATGTGTGCTTAAGTACAATGGGTAAAACAATCTTTTTTCATCGAGTTTTTTTGCTTCTTTATAGCAGCTATTGAAGCATAAAATTTAATAAATGCCTAAAATAGTTATAACAATGGTAAACACCAGTTTTTGGCAAATCTCTAAGCTAATGTTGTTCAACCTTTTTCATCTTATGGCACACTTGAACCTATAGTTAAACTTCTGCAGCACACTTAAATTATGATGATAAAAAAAATAAAAAAAAGGAGTCTACTTAGTCAGGATCATCAAGTCAATGTGAACGATCTTTTCCTTAGCTGCATAATATATACTTCACCAGGGCAAAAAGAGCATAATTTTTCAGATTTATTTATTAGCATATAAAAACAATTTATTATAATTTATAATAAAAAGATAATTAAAATTCATAAAAACAAACATTTATTTTTCTGTTTATTATAATTTAACACGATATCAGAGTCAGCATATTTTTTATTTGTTATTTTTTTTTTTAACATCTTTGCAAGATCAAATTTTGGATAGGCATACTCTTAAATCTTCTTCCAAGGATTCTAGCTGTGATCAATTATTTTAATATTTTTTTTTTATTCCAGAAAAACTTTCCTTTTATATTATTTTCTATATTATGTATACGTTTATTTATAACAATGATATACACATATAATCTATTTAAAGGGGTTTTAATTTTAATACATACACTTATTGTGGCACAGTACTCCAGTTGAAAAATCACTGCCCTAAGCACATAAATATAGTATTGTAAACTAAAGAAAAAAGAAAAAGTGTATAACAAAGAATATTAAGGGGAGTGGGGGAAGGTATTCATGTGTCCAGTTCATGTAATACTGAGATCTGTATTGTGCTACAGCATGCATGCAATATACAGCAAGCTTGCATAAAATCTCCTTGTTTTTGTTTTGCCTTTTCTGCTGATGGCTATTAGATGGTAAATTCAAAAGAATATTACATCTATTGACTTTTCACACCAATCTAGTGATGGTACTGCATATATTAATGTGTGTCTGCATGTTTGTGTGCACAGTTATATACATCACCTAGACAGGCCGGCAGGTGGGCTGGCTGGCTGGGTGGGAGATGCCTGAAATGAACAAGTTGCAAGTCAGACAGCTGATACCATGGAAAAATTAATACAGGTACTCTTGGTATGAAAAAGTATACTGAGCAAGAAACACACCAGTGTTAAATACTTTTACAAGTGTTTCAGTTTGTTTTAATTTACAATGTCATTATGCAACACTTTTGAGAAGTCAGTCTTTCTGATTTTCAGCAGTTATTCTCTTCAGCTTCCAGTTAAAGCCATATCATTGCCATCATTGAGCAAAATAATTTCTACAGCAAACATTTGCTATTGTTTATTGCTTGGCTTGTATTTTTTTCTTATTGAAATTCATTAATACTTGCCTATTTGATGTTGATAAAAAAGAAACTTAATTTTTCTACTTAAAGTAGGAACAAATGTTTTATGGAATCTGTTATACATCAAAGTGCCATTCCAGTTAAAAAAAAAAAAAAAAAAATGGAATCAGTATGTTTATCCTAAATTGGCTGTGTTGTTTTTAGTAGGATAATTTTAAAAGCTATTATAAAGGAGTTGTTTCTTCAAGGCATACTCAATATGACCTTATACCAAAATTGGCTTTTTATACAAAATAAAAAAATTTAATCAGTATTTGTGCTTCTAATATTCATAGGCCGTGTTAAAAAAAAGTGCAGTGAAAAAAAATCCTGAGGAAGAAATAAAAATGATTAATTACAGTGACTTCTCAAACTTAAGATTTTAACCTATAATAATAGTAATGAAGTCATCAAGTTAAAAAAAATAAAACAAAAGCAACTTTGTTATTCAATAAAAGACCTTGGTAAAACTGATAATTGGTTAGAATTCAAAATAATTGGTAATTATAGATTAATAGTTTTCTAGATGTGCTTACTGAGGTCATTCATTTCAGTTTCACTTCAAATTAATTTAAGTGAAATCCACAATATTCAATATTACACAAAGCATATAAAATGCATTCTTCCATGTCACAAACAAAAAAAAAAAAAAAGAAGAAAAAAGAGGCTTCCATTTGTTCTAAATTTTGTTGTCATTAAGCAAAAAGTTTGTCTTTTTTTGCACCATCCTCTCCATTTTCCTTTTGTTATTGTACACCATGTTTTTTTTAACCACAATTTTTGTGCCAGATTAAATATAAGCCTCATAGATATCAAGATTAAATTTTAGCAATTATAATGGTAATGGTGAGATTAGCTGCATGTTGAGAAATTCTCAGCCCAACTCACTTCCCAAAATCTGAGCAAATAAGCAAACAGTTTGAAATCCTTTTTGAGTGGGTCAAGTACTTTTCAGCACTCCATCATACATTATGACTGCTTTCCAGTAATAGTCAATTATAAAATCAACTGTAAAAATGTAAGAGATTTGCAGACAAGTGTTAGCGTAGGCAAGATAGCAAGAAGAAAAAGTGTTACATTAAGAATGAATAAAAGGAATACCTTTAGAGATGAGAAACAACCAAGTATATGTTAGTAAATTGTCTTCAAACTTAGATGAGGCACAGTGTGCTTTTCTCACTAGTATTTCTTTCATCTTCATTTCAGTTGCTATTTTTTTTTTTTATCACCAATCCCAGATGATCATTCTATGATCAACAGTAAAAAAAAAAGTGGGGCTAAGAAATAAAGAGTAAGTTGCCAGCTCTATAAATTAGGCTATGAAAACCAAATGGCTTGACCAATTCTAGTCATATGGCTATATTCTCTAATTCACTGTATGCAAGCTTATACAAAAAAAAGAAAAGAAAAGACAATCTAGGAGTTACAGTAAAAAGCAACATAAATTATGAAGAAAGAAATACTAGTCAGTAAGTTAGTAAGTTTAGTAAATAAAGTAATTTTAGTATAGAATGGTAGATTTGAGCTTAATTTACCAGCGTTCATCAGAGTAGTAATCAAAATCACGCTCATCCATGGGGCTCATATCAAGAGAATGGTATAATCTGCTTAAAAAAAAAAAACAAAAAACAAAACAAAAATAAAAATTTTAAAATTATCTTACTGCTGAAAACAAGTGAAAAAAAAATGTTGGTTAAGTTTTCTTTTGTAAACATTCATGTAAAAAAAAAAAAAAAAAAAAAAAGCTATTTTCTAATAAATTAGCACTTAAGTAAATTATATACCAACAGCCTTTAATTATTAGGAAGAGTTTTGTAAAGTATTTTTTCTTGTGCCATATTGTTTTTTTGATAAACTACTTCCTCGATGATAAATGAACCAAATATGCATTTTTAGGCACTTGGATAGTGAACTGATAATGCTAGTAACAACCAATGGTAAAATTATAACAGTATGGGGAGATTCCTAGAAAATGGGGAGGTAACTTAGATTTTGCAGTGTTTTTTTTTCTTTCTAAATTTGCTAAATTCAAGCATAGACACTGAAGCTTAACCAATTCTGTATTCCTATCCTAAAATACCATAAATCATGTTTTGTGAGAAATTTTGGAGTTACTAATTAATCTACGGCAAGATTTTATAAATCTCCTCCTGAGGAGATTTTAAAAAATTTGCCACTGTGTGACACTGAGATCTATAGATGTATTGGTATAGCCAAGGATGCATTCCAAAAGCTGGGCAGAGTACTGCAAGACAGGAGGATCACTTTGGTAAAAAAGAAAAAAGTACTGAGCTGTTACGTGAATTCTGTCCTCTTTTATGGCAGTGAATGTTGGATGGTCTCCCCAAAGATGAAGAGACTCAAAGCAACAATGTGGTTTTACAGAAGGATGCTGAGAATATCATGGACTGAGCATGTGAGCAACGATGAAGTCTTAAAGAGGATGCAAACAAGGAGGCGGCTTATACTTAACATCAGGAAGAGGCAGCTGAAATTTCTGGGACATGTAATGAGAAAGGAAGGCCTGGAGAATCTGATACTCACAGGTCAAATAGAGGGAAAGAGAGACAAGGGAAAGCAATTCAGGACATATCTGGCAGGCTTAAGCAAGTGGATGACAGAACATGGTCTAGGGGAGGTGGAAGAGGGACAAAACTTATTGAAAGCTACAAGGGATAGGGGGGAGTGGAGAGCCATGATCGCCTATGTCCTGAAAGGACACGGCACATAGAAAAAGAAAAGAACTGGACAATAATAGTGGAGATGTATGATGTAGTGAATGGTTTTATATCAATAAGCAATGGTAACAAGCATGGGTGTCAACTGCATATAGAATTTAATTGATGATCAGCAATTACACTGAAAGATTTTAACTGTAGGTGTGCCTAGTACTTGAATTGGATACTTATCTGTATGTCCACTCAGATGGAATATGGCAAAGTGGGAATCCCATATATATATATATATATTATATATAAATAAAATGAAAGAGGAGTTCATTACATTCGCTTACAGGCTAATACCCTTGGGAAAGGTATGAATCCATCTTACCCACCCAGCTATGGGTAAATAGTAGGACAGACTGGGTCCTATATCCTTGGGTGATGAATGATCTAGGATAGGGTTGTCCAATCTATTTTCCTAATGGGCCAAATTAGAAATTTAGGTATATTCCCGAGGCCACAAAAGTATTTTATCTAAAAAATTCAAAAGTTGTGAATATCAAACTTTAATAACATTATATATATATATATATATATATATATATATATATATAATTACAAATAATACATAGACAAAATAAAATAAATTTAATGTGATTTTTGACATTGCTTTCCTTTTAAAATATTGTCAATATCTGCTTTTATGGTAAGAATTTATTCCAAGAAAGAGCGATTTCCATTTAACTACAATTTCTTTTAGAAGTTTTGAGGTTTTTTCATGCATGAAAAGAACTGTCCACAACAGTATGTACTACCCTACATGCATAAGAGTTTTCTAGATAAACTAAATTTTTATTTTGCTCTTGCCCCACACACCAGCTGATGTATCTTGGCAAAGGCCTTTGACCCCTTCCCTTTTAGTGCAATGGGGAAGTGAACCTACTAGAAAAATCTGAAAATAATTTTCTCATATATTTTCATTTACTTTAGTAACATATCTGAAGATTTTAGGGTGCAGTAGGCCACAGTGCAGCCCACAGGTTGTCCCTGGTCTATGAGAATGAAGACCCCAAATTCAAAACTTGTGGAGGGTCTTTTGGGTCTGTGTGCCAGTTCTCTATATTCAGCTCTTCCAAAATGTGTGGTTGGTTCTGCACAAGCCTTTATCACTATAATCAAATGATATGTGTGGGTAGTCTGGCTGTTGGTTCTAAGAACTGAGCTGCTTCATCCTCAAAAACAGCAGTATAAGAAAGAAAAAGGTTTCTTGCTAATTTGCCCTTCTCTAAACTTTGCATTATTTTGTAAAGGAAAACAAACACACACAATTTCCTATCACTCTGTAATACTGCATCTTACTCATCAATTCATGATTATTATTTCTGTGTTCAATTTACAGCAGGGCCTTATGCTGATTATTTCTCAAGCTTCAGTCTTTTATTGTCTGCTGTCCTAAGCTTATTGTTCACTGGGTTTCTATAAATATGAGTAAATATATTCAAGTAATAAATGTTGATAACCTGATTTTAATTAAAAAAAAATCAGGTTAATTCACATGAGACTTGAAGGCTTAATATCTGCTTCATATCAGGTTTCTGCACATGAATACAAGTAGGTCATAGTAAAAGAATTTTTTTTTTCTTTTGCATTAACAAATGTATAGTAACAGGATTGCTCATTAATAAGAAAATGACAAGTAAATTAAACGAACATTTATTCCCCTCAGTATCCTTTGTGGAAGAAAAAAAAAAAAAAAAGAAAAAAAAAATAACAGCAAAGAGAATAAAATTAAATAAAAGGTTGCAGATAATCCTGAAAACTAATTTAACATGGGTATTCTATATCACCTTGTTAGATAAATGAAGTAAAAATCCAAGTTATTTCATGAATATACGATTAAAAGCAAAAATAGTATTAAAAAGAAAAATAAAGGAAACAAAAAAAAATTCTGCTTAGTTCTTAGAAAAAAAAATGACAAATTCTTTAAATTATCTATATACCAAAGTCAACAATATTAATACCTTTAACAGATATTCCTTGTTTAAAGAGGAATGCAATCAAGCTGAAAAGTCATACACAGTGCAGCTAGTTAGGAAGAGAAAGCAAGTATTTTATAATCATCAGTTTGCATAATTTCAACAGTATAATAGTTTATGTAAAATTATAGTGTGTTCCTATCAGAATTTACAGTGATGCACTTCACTAACTGATAGCTAGGTTGTCTCACAACTCTATATAAAGCAATTTACAGCTGGCTGAAGCAACTATTTCTCCAATGCATATTGTTTATAGTAAAAAGCAAAAGATTAAAAAGGATATTTAGAAATGCATGCAAACTGATCAAAAGAATACTGGAACTACTTTGAACCATAGAATGGATCAAAGTAGTTAGCCTAGAGTAGAAAGTTTACCAACAAGAATGTTTATCATAGAAAAGATAACGGAGTTAAATTACTGGGTTGGAACACAAGTTTGTAGCATATTTTAAGTGAATTTCAAAGGCAATATTTAGATATTTATATATAGATTTAATCAACCACATAGGTGTCATTTTGTTCCACTAGCTTTTACTATCTCCAAGGCAGTTTCAGGATTCTATTCCCTCAGAATTTGACAACTTTCTGGGTGATGAAACACTCTAAGTGGTTTTCACAGGTTTCAAGGTAATTAAAATTTTTCCACATTAAGAGAATGTTTCAGAAATCAAAATAAGTGGTAATCGGAAAGTGCAAAATCAGGTGATTTACTGATTTTTTTACATTTTTTTTTTTACGGCTTATCAACCATTTGTATGTTATTTAAAGCCAGAAAATATTTTTACATTTTAAGAATTTTTTTGTGGAGGTTGGGGGGAGAGATAATGATTTAGTGATACAAGCCTTACTTATATAGCCAGGGGGAGTGGCTTCATACCTTCTCCAAGGGTATATGCACATAAGTGAATATAATGAACTTAATTGGAATTTGGCTCGCCAATTTCCAATTCCATGTCATTATCCATTACAATACGCACACATCCAAGCTTACAGCACCTGATATTCCCAAGTAGTCACCCATCTAAGTATTTACCAGGCCCTGCATTAGTTCTTGTATGATCACTGAAGTTAAACAGTGTTTCAACGTGATATGGCCATAAGCCACAAAGTCGGGTAAGCATAGTAGGTATAGTAGGATATCCCAATGAAGCTGTACCAATTTCTGCAAAGAGACATGAGGTTTTGCCCTGTTCTGATAGAAAGCGACACTGTTCTGATTGGCCAATTCTGAACACTTATAGATTGCTGCCTTTAATTGGTCAAATTGAGAAATAATACCAGGTCTGAATTCAATATCGGATTTTGCAGGAGCTTGTAATACAGAATACCCTTCCAGTCCCACCAGATACACCACTTCTTTGGCCTTTGGAATAATTAATAGCAGCACATTTCATTTTTCTCTGGACCTTTTTCATTCTACATTGTTGTAAACAATCTATTTTTCATCACCTGTGATCATTTTTTTTTTTTTTTTTAAATATTTTAAGTTTAAAAATTTAAATTAAGTTTTTTTTTTCCCCCCGTTAAATTGTGAAACATCCAAATATTGTCATGATTCCAATATCCAAGTGTTTTCAAATGTTTAATAACACTCATCAGACATGTAGAGTATCTCTGTAATGTTCCAGGTCATGTGACCACGATTATTCTTAATCAGCATTTTGATTTGGTCATCAGCAACTGCAGGACTGCCAGATTTTTTGAACCTAACAAACCACTTATGAACAGTACTCTTAGCTATGGCACCATCTCCATAAACAGCACACATCTTTTCTTTTGCTGTTTATATAAAATATTTTTTCTTTCTGGAAATAAAAAAGGTCATCAAATGATGAAAATGTATCTCATTTTCCTCAATTTTTTACTTTTAACACAAAAACATTTTTTAAAAATTCACAATCTACACAA